TCTCCACTAATATTTGATACATAGTCAACCCAATAAAAGTTTGAAGAAATGAATAAATGATGGTGGGATGGGGGAAAAGATGGATGGTTTGACGGATGGGCTGTTGGATCCACGCACAGATCTGAAAGGAAAGACTGATCCAAGGGTGAACGCTAGAAGAATGATGGGGGCTGGATGAATATGCAGATGGGCATGTCGATTTGTGGAAGGGTCATGACTCAATGAGGGATGGACAGTATCCAGGATTTACAAGTGAAAGGAAGGATTATAGAAGGTTATCGTTGATCCATGGATGGAAGGACAGAACCCGGGGAGTTGGTAAATAGATGGCTGGCTGGCTGGCTGGCAAGATTCACCAATAGGATGAGCAGACCTGGTTCATGCATTTGACATGCGCAGGGAAGGGTGGGTGAAAGGGAGGTGGGTACATGAATGAGCTCAAGGTTGAATTAGGAATGCATTGCTAAAAGACCTGATTAATAGATGGACACATGGATGGATGGGTGGATGGATGGATGGATGGACAGGTGAATGAATGGATAAATTCATGAGTAAAAGACAGGAAGTAAGGGAGGAAAGAAATACCCTTCCACCCCACTCCCTACCACTATCCCGCCTCCCAACTCACTGGTTGGTGTTTCTGCCCGTGGTGATTTGTGATGGATTACCCTTTTGGTGATCCTGGGAAGGTGTCTGATGGAGCAAAATCTTGCTAAAATTGTCGTGGAAGTGCGATGGCTGGCCCCTTGAAGACAAATAGGCCACACCTAGCATGAGTGGTCAGATGGTTAGGGTCTCCCAACCTGTTAAGTATCCATGGCAGCCTGGTCCCCACCAAGAAGGTCCCTGACACTTACCACGGGTCTGCGAGATATGGGCAGGTGTGACACTGAGAAGAACCTCGTCTGGGATGGAACAGACGATTTTGATATTGCGGTGTTGAGGACACTGAGAGCCAGGAGGAGGAAGTGCTTGTGAGCTAGGGGTTAGTCCTTACTAGGAGCCTCTACTTTTATGACCCTGGGGAGACCACAGACCATCAGGGAGGGTCCCGAGACCTCGTGAGATCCTCCGCTAACGTTAGCACCAGCCTTGGAGCAGCGGGGTGGCGAGCCAGGGGCCCAGCCCACGCCCCCCCCCAAACGCCCCCCGCCCGGGCCCCGGCCTCACTCTGCGGCTCGGGCTGCGCGGCACACTCCTGTCGCAACTGGTGCAGGAACTCGCTGAACCTGCTGGGGAGGAACTCCTCCAGCAGCGCGCCCAGAGAGTCCTCCTCGGCCGCGCTCCTCCGGGGGTCCGGGCCCTGCCCGGGCTCTGGGAGCCGCCACGCGGACCCCCAGGACCTGTCGGTCCTGCGCAACGGCGGCAGCAGCAGGGACCTCAGCACCGCGCGGTCCTGCGCCGCCCGCGAGGTCTCGGTGTGCAGGGTGGGCAGGCGCAGCTGGGGGCTCCCGGCACCCGGCCCGGGCTCGGTGTCCCACCCCTGCCACCACGAGGAGGAGGCCCTGGAGGCCTGCGAGACCCCCGCGCGCCCCGCGCCGTAGCAGGCTCGGCGCTCCAGCGAGGGCAGCTTGGGCAGCACCTGGGGTCTCGGCCATTCGCCAGCGCTGGGACACCTCTTGGGCGCCACCTGCTGGGCCCTCTGGATGGGGTGACGCCGAAACATGCTGGGCGCTGAGCTCAGCTCAGGACGTCCTCACGCCAGCCTGGGTGGTGGGCGGCGGTGCGCATAGGACAGCCCCGGGCGCCCCGGTGGGGCAGTGTGGCTTGGTGGTAATGCCACCTGCTCGGCGACAAAGAGTGGCCTCAGGCTAGAACCCGCTCAGCCCCTAGTTCCCTCACCTGGAAAAGTGGTGACGGCAAGAGTACCCACCTTTTTGGGTTGCTGTGACGTTGACATGAGCAAGTACATGTCCGTCGCTTAGAATAGTGCCAGGCCCAGTTACATACTCAACCAGGGCAGCCGCCATTCTTATTAGGCTCAAAATGACTAGTACTCGGGGTCTTGGTTCCACTCCTCACCTTGGGTGAGCCAATGAATTTCTCCGAGCACTCTCTCGGTGTGCTGCTCCGTGGAACCGTGTGTGTGTGTGTGTGTGTGTGTGTGTGTGTGTGCGCGCGCGCGCGTGTGTGTGTGTGTGTGCGCGCGTGTGTGTGTTCAGGGCGGGCACCTGTCTCTTTGTGAAATGGCCCGGCGCTGGTAGACAGCACTTAGCATGGTGGAGGCTATTACTGTAAGCTCTCCACTGGGAACTAGGAAACCTGGAACCATCCTGGAAAGAGGAGAGACCCCCTCCCCCAGCAGTCTCCCTATCCCGGTGGTGCATTAGAACCCTCCACCGCCACCCCTCCGCAGTGGGAGCTTGCTGAAAATATACTGAATTTCCCCATCCCCCCCCCCCCCGCCAGATTCCGATTCTGTGTCTGGAGTGGAGCTAAGACAATTTGGGGGGCAGGGGCGTTGGGCATCAAACGGGGCCTCCCATCAAACTACATCCCAAGCCAACACTCATTTATAACAAACCCCATTCCCTTAGGGAGGCAGAGCCTCAGTCACCCCCTCGGTTCTAATACTGGGGGTCTCCAAGCCTACTCCCTCCCCACCACACCCCACTCCCAGATTGTTGGCAGCCCCCAGCTGGCTCCTAGGTGTCATCACACTCACCCTGCTGGGGATTCTGAGTGAGGCCAGCGAAGTCCCTGAGGTTAGAGCCCTCTAACAAGCTGGTCCTTAGAAGAGTCCATCTTCCCCTGCATAGTCCCTCTGCCAGCCCCTCCCAGCTGCCTCCTGGGCATCTTCAGAGTCATTGTGATCCGCCTGTCCTCACCCATGGCTATTTGAGGAACAGTGGGCACTGAAGCCTGGAGACAGAGGGCGGGGCCCTTGTGCCCTGGGTGCCAGGCTGCAGCAGGTGGCTTTGGCACTCCTGGTCAGGGCAGCCAGGCCTAAGCAGGGAAGGGAAGGTCTAGAGTCACCCACCCCTTCCAGATCCAGGAAACCCAAGTGGGTCATGTTTGGCTGGGTGGCTCCGAAGTGGAAGATCCACCTGGAATGGGGACAGAACATAAGGGGGCCTGGAAACTCAGAGAACCAATCTCAAGTCCATGCCTGATTCTTTTTTTTTTTTTTTTTTCAAGTTCAGAAGTTAGAAGTTTATTAAAGGACAGCAGAAAAGACTTCTCCCGGAGGAAGAAGGGGACCCAAGAGGTGGAATCCCCATGCCTGATTCTTTTTGATACATGATGCTGAACAAGTTTCTCCCTTCTCAGGGCTCCATGGGAAAACTGACAGGACCGATCTGTGACTCTTGGCTGGGAGAGGGCAGGGAGGAAATTCATGATATTGTACAAGATATGGTTTAGGCAAGTATTTTACAGGCATGTTATAATTTTATAACTTGAAAATGACTGTCATTCAAATTACAGGACATCTACCTGGAGGAGACATCCAAAAAGATGTACTCCATTTTCTTTTTTCTTTATTTCTTTTGCAGTGCTGGAGATTGAATCCAGGGGCACTGTGCCACTGAACTATATCCCCAGCCCTTTTTATTTTTCAGTTTTGAGACAGGGTCTTGATGAATTGCCAAGGCTGGCCTTGAACTTGAAATCCTCCCACCTCAGCCTCCTCAGCAGCTTGAATTGCAGGTGTGCGCCACTGCACCCAGGCTGTAATCCATTGTTTGTAAAGCTCCTCGGCTAGGTTTGGAGAGGCATGTTTCCTCTGGAAGCTGGAATATCAAGCGAGAGAGACAGAAATGTCTGTATTTATTTAAAGGGTGTGAGATTAAAAAAATGGGCAAAGAACATTAATAGATGGTTTCTGTGTCCTCTAACTCTTGCAGTCTGCAAACATTTATTGAGCCACTACTATGTGCTAGGTTTGAAAATTCAGAGATGTGAGAAGAATTGAGGTCAGGGAGCTGGTTATACCTGGAAATGGCTTGGAGCCTGAGTGTGGAGAAGGGCATTCTCTTCCATTGTCAGGAAATACAGTATGGGTGGATTTTGAGGCATGTGAGAGCTTGGATTAGAGCTACCTCCCAAAAAAAGGATTTTAGACACCTCCAGCAATCAAAATTGCCTAGGATCTGTTCCAGAAACATGGAAAATGAAGCTTGAGAGAAGGGCCCAGACCAGGAGAACCGGGAGTGGCCTAGACTATAGAGGGGATCCCCCCAAACAGGTACATAAGCAGATTTAGGGGACTTAATGGCAGGTGGGACTTTCAGCACTCCCCACTTTTCATTGCATTAAAGCAAACACACTTTTTAAGCACTTCTTGTGTGCACAGCTGAGAGGAAAGCATTGTAAATCTAACATCAAGATGTTATTTTGAGGGAAATGAACTTACTTAAGATGAATATTGTCATTATAACAGCTACCATTTCCTGAAGGCTGGACGTGCAATATCCCACATGGTGCAATATCATCGGAAGTCTAGTCTAGTAATTATTACATTCATCTGGCAGAAAAGGAGATTGACGCTGGGAGAGGTTAACAGTGTCTACCTACCTGCAAGTTCACGTTTCCAACACGGAAAGATCCCTCCAGAATTTCTGTGAATGGAGGGTCCTAAGGAAGGTCAACGTTTTTGGAATGGAAAGTCCATGAWTTGTTCTGTATATTGGGCTGGCAGGTCCCTGGCACAACCAAGTGTATTTCTTTTCCTTCTTTTTTTTTTTCTTTCTTTTTATAAATTATTTTAAGATGGTAATGGAGATGGGTGAGCACCAGTGGCCCTTCCCCCCTTTTTTTCCCAGTGGAAAACCCCCGACACTCGTTTTTTAAAGTCCAGCCTGGCAGCCTCCGACTAAACTGGTGCACGCGCGGAGGTCGGGGGAGACCAGCGCCGTGGCCTGAAGTCCTCAAGGCGGGGATTTCGACCCCGCAGGCAAAAGGTTAGGTCCCAGCCCGCGGGACTCCGCAGGCTGGTCGCGGGGCGGGGCTGCGCATGGCTCCGCCCCCGGGCGCCCGGAAGTGACGTGTGCGGACAAAGGCAGAGCGCGCCGCGAGGTGTCGCGTCTGGTGGACCGGCTGACTGCGGCGGGCTCGAGGGTCCTCGCCGCCGCCCTCACCCGCTCTTCCCCGTCCCCTTCTCCCAGCCCCGGGAGCCCCCGCCCGGGGTGAGTAGCGCGAGGCGGGGCGGAGGGGAGGCGGCCGCCGGGTGCGGGGAGGCCCGGACCCCCAACTGCCTCGGCGCCGTGAGGCCCCGGTCGTCACGTGACCCGGCGCGTGCTGGCCTCGGCTCCACGTGCGTGTCCCCGGGCGGTCCACCGGCCGGACCTGGGCGGGGCACGGGTCGGAGTAGAGGAGGGAAGCCAAGGCCCCAGAGCCTGGGCAGGGTCCCCCCTAGCCTGGCCGCAGCAAGCCCTTCCTCTCGGAGCCTCGGTTTCCTCCCGTGAGATCAGCGAGCGCCCACTCGGAGGAGAACTCGAGGAGTCGGCGAGATGCTCGGCTCAGCCCCGCGGAGCACGGTGCCGGTTGCTTAGGCGTTGCTATCCCATTTAACCCTGGCCCAGCCCCAGCCCCAGCCCGGCCCCGGCGAGCACAGGTGCAGCTAAAAGACAGCTGCCGCCTGGAGCTCTTGAGGCCAAGGTCAGTTGGATTGCGGGGAGGCCGCCATCTCCCAAAGCCCAGGTTCTGCCCACCAGCTGTGTGATCTTTTTCCCTCTGGACCCAAATCTCTCCTGAGTACATTGCAGCCCCTGGTGTCAGAGGCCCTGACGGTGGGCCGGGGCAGGGCAGTGTGGGGAAGGTTGAGGTATGGAACCGTGGCGGTGGCCGGTGAGATGGGTTGAGCCCGGGGCTTAAAACTGCTCCTGATGTCCTGTGTGTTAGTTTAATCGCCTTCTTTTAGGTGTTGATTTTTCAGTTTGTCCACTGGAGACTGGGAGGTTGAAGGTACCCATGTCAGCTCTGGTGGGGCCAGAGGCATAGRATCTCCAGGCCAGCCTCTTAACTGCTGCAGTGGTTCTGGGCTTATGTGGAAAGGGAGCCCACCCTACCCCTGCTGATTGGAGTCTGCTGCTTGGTCAGCAGTGATCCTTTAAGTATGTTTCCGCACATTGCAGCCTGTAGGGCATTTCAGTGCATTTTTTCTTATTTTTCTTAATAATTGGCAGAGTTGTGGAGAATCCCATACCTGATCTTTAAGCTGGGGAGAGAATGTGTGCCCATACTCTGTGGGGTACCTCAAGCTTTTCATATGCAGTCATCACCGTCTTTCTGTAAGGTCTGTGTCACTGTTCCCATTGTATAGATGAAGAAACTGAGGAACAGTGGGGTTAAATGCGTTATCTGAACTTACACAGCCAAAGAGCAATGAACACAGCCAAGATTCAGACCCAGTTCATGTAACTCCATCAGGGCCTTTGTTTTTAAGCACCACCCCCGCTTTTTTGTTGTTGTTGTTGCTTGTTTTTTGGTACTGGGGATTGAACTCAAGGGCACTTGACCACTGAGCCACATTCCTAACTCTGTCTTGTATTTTATTTAGAGACAGGGTCTCACTGAGTTGCTTAGCTCCTCACTTTTGGCTGAAGCTGGCGCTTTGAACTCCCGATCCTCCTGCCTTAGCCCCCCACACCACTGGGATCACAAGCATGCTTCCTGCTTCCTTTCCTCCCTTCCTCTGCCTTTCTCACATGTCCAGTTGCTGTCCCCATAGGTCGAGGGAGCACAAGCTTTCTGTCCTCCAGGCTATCTCAGGCAGGCCTTTGCCTCCTGTTGCTCTCAGACTTTTTCTTAGGAATACCAAATGCAGAGCATGAGGTTACTGCACAGGTCTTCTGGTGACAGTTCAAGTACCGTTCTCCTCCCTGGGTCCTGGAAGAATAGAAGCAGCTGGGACAGGTGCTCAGGTGTTTCTCTAAACACTTCTGTGGAATGCGGGAGAGATGGCCACATGCTGCCTGCTGTGGGGCAGACAAGATGAGCAAAGGATTTTCTTCTCTCTGAGCTGGCCCAGAGCCGCTGCCCCAGCCCAGCCTCTGTAGCTGTGCAGTAGCTCTTCATGGTGCTTTGGAGCAGAGTGTAGGGGGACTTATTGCTGTGCGCCCAACCAACCTTGCTGTGTCCTCTGGCTCCTAGGACTTCCTGCCAACTCATATGGACACTGGAAGGAAGGCCAGGTGTAGACAGGAAACGAGGGATCACACTTATTCATGAATCAGCAGCAAATATCAGAGTTAGACTTGCTGTTTCCTGGGCCTAGATGTGCCTCTCCTTGGTGGTTCATTCCTAGAATCTGTGTGCAAGTGGGATTCTTTTTTTTTTTTTTTTTTTTTAAGAGAGAGGTGAGAATTTTTTATATTTAATTTTTCAGTCCTTGGCGGACACAACATCTTTGTTTTTTGTATGTGGTGATGAGGATCGAACCCAGGCCGTACGCATGCCAGGCAAGCGTGCTACCGCTTGAGCCACATCCCCAGCCCCACAAGTGGGATTCTTGTAAATTAGATTATTCAGGGACCTTGACATCGAAAGGAATCATTGTTGTAAGGCTTTTATTAAAACAAACAAAAAAAGTCATATTGTCAGTAATAGCTTTCAGTGTTATTAGTTTTCAACAGTCGAACTGTGTAGGATTTTCTTAAAAGTAAAAATGGCTGTAGCCATGTAAAGTCCATGCTTTCATTCACTTGACAGCCAGTTAGTAAATGTCTACCTTGTCCTGGGCACTGGACTGATGATATGTACAAGGTAATGCCCCTGCTCCTAGAAAGCTTGCGCCCTGGGAGGGGAGGCAGAGAGAATGAACTCCCCATTAAGTGTCTGGCACCAATCTTTCTGTCCATTGGCTGAGAAGTGAAGTTTTTACCCCATGTGCTACATGGGGTACCAGAGAAACAGAGAGATAGATCTTGGGATGTTGCTATTGCTCCCCAAGGACCTTCCAGTCCAGTGAGGCTCAGATTTGAACATAAAACCAGAAGTTCATTCACCTAGACTACAGGCAGTGGGGCACAGAGTCAGTCCTGCTGAGCTTCGGGCTGAGTGGGAGCTGGGGTGGAGAGTGACGTGTCCTCCCTAGGGGATTGTGGGGAGGGGGCTGGAACATGGTTTGTGGTGCCTGTTGGCAGGGGGTATGCAGCCCACTTGGCCTGGGTCCTCATCCTTGTTGGGTTCCATCCTGCTGTGACATTCGGGCTTGTGACTTTTTTTCTTTTTTAATTTTTTAGTTTTAGGTGGACACAATATCTTTATTTTTATTTTTATGTGGTGTTGAGGATCGAACCCAGCGCCCCGCGCATGCCAGGCGAGCACACTACTGCTTGAGCCACATCCCCAGCTTGTGACTTCTTTCTGTCAGCTTCAAGGAACAATAGTGCCAGGTGCTTGCCATAACTAGTAGTCTTGGGGATTGGTAGGTCTTGCCACATCACGTCAGGGTTGGAGCGACAGTGCACTCTAGGTAGTGTGCTGCTTTCTTTCTCCAGAGTCACTGCTCCCAGCCCTGGGACACTGATGTGGGGACATTGTGATGCAGGGGGAAGGTGCCATATTTAGAACCAAGGGCCCTCCAGCCTGCTGTTTTGAGGGCCCCTCAGTTAGAGTGCAGGGATGGCAGCTGGTCTTGGTTGTGACCCCAGGCCCCCGTGCCTCAAGATTGAAGTGGAGAGTCAGGCTGTAGGCTGATTCCGGAATCTGAAGGGGGCTTCCAGCAGGCTTCTCCCTGGGCTCTGTGAGCAGGTTCTGTAAAATCATGGATCTTTGGAGAACTGGACCCGCATAGGGCACATAGACCTGATCACCTACATTCTGGTCCCTTGGTGGGAAAGTGTGTGGCCTTGTCTGAGAAGAATTCCCTAATCTGCTGGAGGAGCAGGGTCTGGGATGGAGAGGAGGGTCCCTTCCTTCTCACAGCAACCTTGGTGGCCCTGCCCTGCTGCCCCCACTGGCTCACTGGCTCTCTGGATCAGGCTGCCAATGGCTGAGGTAGAAGTGCATTGAGATAGGAGCATTCTTCCTTTTTTTTTTTTTTTTTTTGGTACTGGGGATTAAACCCAGGGGCACTTAACCACTGAGCCACATCCCCAGCCCTTTTTTTTATTTTGAAACAGGGTCTTGCTAAATTGCTTAGGGCCTCGCTAAGTTGCTGAGGCTGTCTTTGAACTCCTGATCCTCCTGCCTCTGCCTCCTGAGCGGTTGGGATTACAGGCGTGGCTACTGCGTCCAGCTTGAATAGGAGCATTCTTGAGCTGTCTGCATAAGGTGGGTGTGCTGCTTTTGGAAGGTCCTTCAAGTTCATAATACAGATGTGTATTGGGGACTGGTCACAAACCTTACCAAGGACAGATTTTTGGCTTTTTTCATGTTTCTTTCCCTTCTCCCCTTTTAGTCTTTGAATGACTTAATGGGGCCCTTTTCTGTTTTCTGACTTCCCTTAAAGCCTCCCTTGGTGTTGGGGCTTTTCTTTTTCTTTTTGGTGATGCCAGGGATCAAGCCTAGGCCCTTGTACACCAGGCATACACGCCTCCACTAAGCTCCATCCCCGGCAGCCAGGGTTTTTCTCATAGTTCTGTTTTGTTTTTGTTTGGTACTGGGGATTGAACCCAGGGGTGCTGTACCATGGAGCTACGTCCCTAGCCCTCTTATAATTTTTACTTTTATTTTTTGAGAYAGATTTTTGCTAAATTGCCCAGGCTGGCCTGGAACTTGCAGTTCTCCGCCTTGGCCTCCTGAGTCACTGGCATGACGGGCAGTGCCAGCTCTCAGTTTTTTTGAGGATTTCTCGAGTTCCACAGGTTGACCCTTCTTTGTTGACCCTGTAGTAATAGGGGTCCGTGGCTTAACTGCTGCTCACTGCAGTCATGTGAAGGTGGGTGGGTAGAACCCCAGAACCCAGAGGCTTACCGTTTACCTGGAGGATTCAGGTGCTTCCCCTGCCTCACCATCCAAGTCCACAATACAGATGTGTGTTGGGGACCATCCAAGACCTTATTGCCAGCCTGGTCTCTGCTGCTTTCCCACCCAGTACTGCTCCAGGGGCTCAGTGCTGGGTGGAGGTGAACCGGCAGTTGGCAGAGTCCTGCCCTCTAGAGCTTTCATTCTAGCCACGGCTGATAGACAGAAGAGAACAGTGTGATTCCAGGTGGAAATACCCCGAGAGGACAGCAAGCCCTGCAGTTAGCCCAGGGTGTTGAAGGAGTCATTTACACAGGCAGCTCAGGGAAGGCCTCTGAGGCGACATCTAGGCTGAGGTCCGCATGGTGGGAAGTTCGCTGTTGAGTCTTGGTGTTCAGTGAGTGCAGGGCCCCCGACCTCTTCCCTGTGCATTGGATTCCTTGTCTGCACGCTGATGGTGGCAGTACTAGTCCCCTGGGCAGCAAAAAGGGCTGAGGAGTCATCAGCTGCCCCTGCCATTGTCGTCCCGCTGCTGCTGCTCGTCCTATGTCAGCTGGCGCCGCCATGCATTTCCCATTTCCCCTGCCACCCTACAGGGTAGTGCCAGCACACCCCCTTGCCCTCAGTAGACTTGGTTGTTTAGCTTCCTATTATTGACAGATGAGGCCCAGGCACTTTGCATGCACCTGGGGCCACCATAGCCCAGGCTGGTCCTCCTTCCCAAGCTCTTCTCGGGATCTTCTCCCTCCTTCCCGAGTCATCTGATGGTACACACCATCACCGCCTCTGCTGCTGTTGTATCTGCCCCATGCAGACATGTCTCTGGGCTGCTGTCCATGCATTGTTCAGGAAGGAGTCCTCTGTCATCTGAGGGATGGGAGCAGATTTAGCTGCCTGGGTGTTCTGGGTGCCAGCAGGGTCATGTGGCTCAGAAAGCCTGGATGGCATCTGGCTGGGCTGACTTGCTCCTTGTTCCTCACCCAGGAGGTGTACCCTTGCCAAGTGTGGAGCTTGAGTAGAGCCGGGGCTGGTGAAAACATGACAAGCGAGGTGATAGAAGACGAGAAGCAGTTCTACTCGAAGGCCAAGACGTACTGGAAGCAGATCCCACCCACGGTGGACGGCATGCTTGGGGGGTATGGCCACATCTCCAACATCGACCTCAGCAGCTCCCGGAAGTTCCTGCAGAGGTTCCTGAGGGTAGGCAGGTCTGATGTGCACTCCAGGAGGAGATGCTGTGGCTCTGGTGGCACCGGTGGGGCTGCATGGGGAGCCACCTGCACATGAAACACTGCCAGCTCTCTGGTCCCCTATCGGTGCCTGCCACCGAGGCCCTAGAGCTGGGGGGTGGGGGTGCAACTTCTAGATTGTCGACTGTCTCAAGGCTACAGGCCGGAGCTGATATGCTGGGGGACTCTTAGGTACTGGAATCTAAGAGTCTTCCTTTAGACTCTTCCGTTGCTGGGGACGAGGTGTCCTGTCGTGGCCGTGGGTGCTGGGGCTGTGGGTATCGCCTCTTCTGCAGCCTCCTAGTTTCCAGGTCTTGATGCTGCTGCTCCCCACCCCTCTGTGCCGTGCCGGGTGCTGGTGTCTGGAACCTTCCCTGGGCCTGCTCCCTCTCGCCCCCTCCCTGGCGAGCACTAGAGGGAACCTTGCTCTGTCCTGTGCCTCCCACCACTCTTGTTCCATCTTCACTCCATTATTTACCAGTTTTCCCTCTTCCAGTTCCTGTGGGAATCCACTCTTGTTGTCATTTTCTGGGGTCTCCTTCACGTGGAAATGGCTGCTCTCCTTAGAAACATGAGGCCCAGCAAGAGTGTCCCTATGACCAGCTGGTGCCGGGCCCTGACTGCAGTTGGATCCCCAGGCTCAGGAGGAAGGCCCCTTTGCAGTGACAGGGTTCCTGTCAGTTGTGCTTGCTCTGCTTTTCAGGAAGGCCCGAACAAGACAGGAACTTCCTGTGCCCTGGACTGTGGAGCTGGCATTGGGAGGATCACCAAGCGGCTGCTTCTGCCACTATTTAAAGTGGTGGATATGGTCGACATGACAGAGGACTTTCTGGCCAAAGCCAAGAGCTACCTGGGGGAGGAAGGCAAGAGGGTGAGGAACTACTTCTGCTGCGGTCTGCAGGACTTCAGGCCGGAGCCGGGCTCTTATGACGTGATCTGGATCCAGTGGGTGATAGGTGAGTGTCCCTCCTGCCTGCACCTGCCCTGCCACTCAGGCTCCCCGGGCCTGTGAGGAAAGGGCCTCAAGGGCAGGTCTTCTCTCCTAGGCTTTGTTTTAATTAAATACCTGCCAGCTGTCCAGGGGCAGCTTTTTGAAAAATGTTAAATGGCCAGTGCCTTTCTGCATTCAAGGGAAACTGAGCTTTGTTAAGAGTTTTAGAGTAAGGTAGAGAGTATGACTGCCAGGAGCAGTCCTGCTGATGCCCCAGGTGTGCCCCCTGGCCTAACCTGCCTAGGGTGCTGTGCCTTGGCTGCTGACCCTCGTAGGCAGCACCACCCTGCTGTGGCCCTCTGGGCCTAGCCCTCCCTGTACACTGTGTGGACTTCAGGGAAGGTGGTTTCGGGTGCTCCTGCTTCATTCGCCCCTCTGCCTAGTCCTAGCGTAGGAGGGACGGGTGGCGTGGCACGGGTGTCAGGCTGGAGGCATCTTGTCAGCTTCAGTCCTAGCTTCGGGCGTAGGAGACTTGTGAGCTCCCGTGGCTTCTTAAACAAATGGGGCTTAGGATTGTTGAACACAGTGGCTGAAGAATGCTTCCCATGCACCCCACCTCCCCCCTGGTGACCGTGCCCTCACCCTCCACAGGCCACCTGACTGATCAGCATCTGGCCGAGTTCCTACGGCGCTGTAAGCAGGGCCTCCGCCCCAACGGCATCATCGTCATCAAAGACAACATGGCCCAGGAGGGTGTGATCCTGGACGATGTGGACAGCAGCGTGTGCCGGGACCTTGATGTGGTCCGCAGGATCATCCGCAGTGCAGGCCTCAATCTCCTGGCTGAGGAGCGACAGGAGAACCTCCCTGACGAGATCTACCATGTCTACAGCTTTGCCCTGAGATGAGCTGCGGTGGCTGGAGAGGCCAGGGACCAGAGCCAAGGTGGGGGGCGCTGGCAGCCAGTGTGGCTCAGGAGTGTCAAGGGGCCGCTAAATATATCTGTCTGCCGTCCACTTGCTATAGACTTGCTTCTTAAAAGGCAAAGTGGGACTCACTGGGGAGGGTCCTGCTGACGCAGGCAGGCGGGCCTCACTGCCCGTGAGGTGCAGATTGGGCCAGAGGCCAATGCCACACAGCCTGCATGACTCCCGTGCGCTTGATGCTCATTTTGTGGGAACTGGTGGTCACTCCACAGGTGGCCTGCCTGGTGGGGAGTCGCCCCTAACTTACAGAGGCCTGGAGGTGTGAAGGAATGTGGTCTTTACCAGGGAAAGCCGGGTTGGGCAAAATACTGGCCAGGTGAACCCAGAAGGGCACCTGCCAGGTGGAGCCATTTATGGGATGTTCGTGGCCCAGGACCTTTTTGGTGATAAGACCCTGGTATCTTTCATGTGACAGTCACAACAGCCTGCAGCCAGGGGAGACATCTGGCTGGCCTCCACTTGTACTTGAGGGTCCTTCATGGCAGGCACTTTCAGGCAAAAATAAAAGGACAAATCCCTGTGCTCTGAAGGCCCTCCCCAGGCCAGAGAGGTGCTCTGTCTCCTCCCCTCCCACCCCTTCCTCCTCACTGGTTGCTGCYGGTCCTTGACCCTGAACGAGAAAGGAAGATGAGAATCTTATACAGGACCCTGTATAAGGGTCAGGAGTTTCCGTTTAATTTTGTAATATAAACATACCACACCAGTCTCAGCTTATTCCCAAAGGCATATACAATGACAACATGACTGGAAGTGACCGTGAGGGATTGATGCTGGGTAGGGCAGGTGGCATCTGGTTTTGGTGGTTGGCTCCCAGCAAGCTACTCAAAACCAGACCCTTGGGAGGGGCTTTTCCCTGGCTTTGCACTCATGATTGCTTTTGGCAGAAGGCATGGTCCCTGAGACCCTGGGTTTGGCACAGTAGAGCACAGCCCTGGTACCCTGGTGAGCAGGGCCACAGGCAACCCAGCCCCTGGGGGGGGGGGGGACCATCAAGTGTCAGCCACAAGAGTCAGCAGGGGTAGGCCTCGAAGCGCAGCCTGTGGTGGCCCTTGGTGCCTTCTCCCCCAGCTCGCCCAAAGCACTTCTTGAGACAGATCTGGAGTGAAGAGGCATGGGTAGGACCTCAGCTGGGCGGCAGCCACAGCTTCCCTCTAGAAGGTTCTAGTTATGCCTCCACACAGGGACAAAGCAGACGCTGGCAGTTCCAGGGGCTGCCTAGACTCAGTGCTGCCTGGCTCCCCTCCAGTGCAGAGGCAGAAACTCAGTCCATCTACACAACTATTCTGCCCAGAGTAGACTGAAACTTGGGCTGGGGGCAGGTGCCAGAAAGAAGGGGCAGACGTACCTCTCCCACAAGAGCAGTTACCTCACCACTAGAGCAGTCACAGCTATGGGCTTTGTGCTTAGTAAGGTTAAGCCTTACCTCCCAGATCAAAGGACCCTCCCCTGGGGTCACCACAGGTGCCAAGTCTACCAGCAGGTGGGGGTTTAAGGTTGTCCAAACCCTGTCCCCTAGTCCAGCACCTGTCAGCTGTCATCCTCTTCTGTACCACTGTGCTCACTGAGGAGGTACCACTTCAGCCTGTCTGGCAGGGGCAGGGCTTTGACCTTCACATCCACAGGCCACGGCTGGAGGTAGAGCCGGATGTACACGCGGCACAGGTGTTTGAGGGGCGGGGGGTAGCTTTCCAGCTGCCTCAGTGAGGAGTGCAGGGCCTGGATCTTTTCTGCCAGGCTGCCCACTGGGTGGACATCAAAGTTCTGGGGCAGCTGGAGCCTCTGGGAGTTGGTCACCATGAGGTCCAGGACAGTCTCGGCTTTGCGCAGAAGGTCCACGTGGCTCTCATCTTCTGCACAGCCCGGGTGGGAACAGAGCCTCTCAAAGATGATGTGGAAGCCAGACCAGCAGGACGCGCCGTGGAGGGAGCAGTTGTAGGCAGCCCCAGATTCGAGCAGGAAGCGCAGGAGGGGAAAGTGCAACTTGAAGCTCTTGAGGCAGATGTGCGTGAGGGACTCATGGGCAGGGCACTCACTGGGGTCAGCCCCATGGGCCAGCAGCAGCTGTGTGACTTGGAAGCAGAATTGGTTGATCATCTGAGCCTCCTCTTTGTCCCCACCCACGGTCTCGCCAAGCAGGAAGATGATGTAGGTGAACACAGTGTCCCCATCTTTGGTGGTGGCCTTGACATCTGCCCCTGGAAGAGCCATCAGAAAAAAAAGGTGGGAGGAGGTCTGCAGCCCTGACCAGGCAGGGAAGGGGGGAAGCAGAAGCTACTGTGGGTGAGAGGCTGGGCTGGGGCATGGGCAGCCTCACCTCCTTCCAGCAGGAGCCGGATGTTGTCGGTGTTGTGGACCTGCACCCCGTCGCTGCTGGCCAAAGCATGCAGCAGAGCAGTCTTCCCTAGAGAGGGACAGGAGGAAGTGGAGGCCAGGGCGCTGAGGTCAGGGCAGCCCCACGGGTAGAGGTGGCAACACTCCACCTCTACCCATGAGGCTTCAAAAAAGCATCAAAGAACTTTAAAAACTTACCAGGGCTGAGGGGGACAGGCTTCTGGCCATCTTTTTCTACCCACACAAATCTGGAGTAGATTTAGGGGTTTTCTGTACCCCAAGCTACTGAGGCCAGCTGGGCCTCTCTTCACAGCAAGCCACTATCTCCAGAAGTTGATGCCCATTCCCATCTCCTACAGAAGGGCCTCAGGGCTGGCAGGGGACAATGACTGCACTGCCTCTCCAAAGCCTCTGGACTCCAAGCTACGGCGCGTCAGCAGATCCACCCTGCACCAGCCATGTCGTGCCGCAGCCAGGCTGCCTCCAGCCAACACGCCAGACACCCCCGGGTCACCTGGTTTCCCTCACAAGGTGCCCAGGGCCCAGGCTGTCCCACTTTCCTTTGAGGCACCTACCATGCTTGTCGGCTGCGTTGACATCGGCTCCTAGGTCCAGAAGGCGCTGCAGGCAGGGCAGGCGCTCGGGCTCCTCGCTGGCCAGATCCAGGGGGCTGCTCTCGTGGATCTGAGCCAAGACAGCACCTGCTGGGTTGGTGTGGGGGCTGTGGGCTGCTTTGGGACCCTGGTGCATTCCCCCTGCGAGGCTGGGCCAGCTCTTACCCGGTCCCTCCGGTTGATGTCAGCCCCGTGACGCACCAGCAGCTCCACCATGTCGGGCTGGTTTCGGAGAACGGCGATGTGCAAGGCCGTGTAGTAGGTGACAGGGTCTRAAGGTAGACAGCACAGGTCAGTCCTGCATCAGCGAGTTTTCACAGGGTCCAGGGCCTGGCCTTGGAGTCCAGCGCCAGCACTCGCCCCAGAAGCTGCAGGATTGGGCCCTCTCAACGTTGTCCTCACCAGGTACTAGAGGGCCCTGGGGGAGATCTGGGGCCACTACTTGACCCATGTGTGCCTTGTTTCCTCCTCTCCATGACGGGCCATAAAACAGCCCTCCTCTTAGCTCGCTGGGGGAGTCACTGAGTGGCTGCTTCTTGGCTGCTGTGCTCGAGCAGGGCCACAGAGCAGGTTCCTGGGATCCGGCTGACGGACCTCAAGCCAGACCCTCCTTCCTCACAATCCCAGGAGCCCAGAGCCTCTGAGCCTGTGTCCATGGTGAGGGGAGACAAGCCTGGCCACATCCTGGGTCAGCACAGACCTGCACTTGCTGTCCAGGCAGTCGTGCCCTCTCCTGACTCAGCTGTCCTCAGGGGAAAACCATAGACGCCAGGAGAACAGTCCCATCGCCACCCTCCCTGGCACTTATCAGCCAGAAGCTGCTTCTTGCAGAGACTGACACCCAGCATGCAGTGTGGCTTATCTGTCACATACTCCCCCTCCCCCGCCCATGGCATAAGCAAAAACACAGGACAGCTCAGAGTGAGTGGCAGGAAATCACCTTCCCTTAGCTCTGGGCACAGTGCCAGCAGCCACATTTCCACACTAATGGAAGCGGGATTAGGCCGGGAGCTGGCAGGTTTGCTGAATCAATCATGGCAGAGCAGCAGCACACTCGCTGGGAGCAGAGGGGGCAGGAGCTTTTGAAAGCCTGCAGGGGAGTGGGAGGCTATCCAACAGGGGCTTCCCTGGCTCCTCCGGGCTCCAGCTGACCTTCAAAGTTGAGATTGGCCCCATTCCTCAGGAGAACATCAGCTGCCCGAGTCAGCCCCAGCTCAGCCATCTTCAGCAGGGCGTTGCTTATGCCTTCCTGGTAAAAGGGAGAGGGGGCCTTCTTCTCCAGCAGCTCAGTGAGAACGAGGATTCGGCTCTCCTCGCTGGCAGCATAACTGGGCCTGGGGCAGCAAGAGGCAGACCAACTGAGGCCTTGAACCATGGTGGGACCGGGATGCCCTGCCTTAACCACCCATGAAAATGGGACCCTGACAGTGGGGCAGAAAGTCCTTCTTGGAAGGTCTGAAGAGGAGAGAGGCTGGGCTTTCTAACTTGCAGCAGACTCCACCCCAATGTCTGGGTACACAGCCTCACACTTGGGCTGTTGGGATTGCAGAGAACCTTGGAGTCTGGAAGCCAGAATCACTGACACGCATTCTTCAGGAAGCCCTCACACTTGGAGACATCCTTTGCTCCCTGAGCTGCAGGATGGCCCCCATGGCTGGCCAGAGTGGTCAGCAGAGGCCCCTTCCCCTGTCACCCAGCTGCCCTCCAGCCCAACCCCACCTCAGCTCGCCCACAGCCCTCCGCCTTTCCTGGCCAGCACTATTAAGAGCTACATTGGCTTTCCCTAAAAGTTCAGGCCAAGGACAGCTCCATGCTTTGCACACAGTTTTGACAATGTCCCAAACTCCTTCATAAGCTGCCACCTCCTCCTCGGGTGAGGGCTCCCTTCTTGGTATTCCCACTCGCCCTCTCCCTGGTTACACGCATCAGTACCCCTTCAAACCGACTGGCTCAAGGTTCAACTTCACTGCTCCGCAGGATTTTCTCACCCCTTGGCTAGATCCTTGCTCTGCACAGGGGACAGAGCTCCTGGTGAAGGCTGGGGCACCTCAACAGGCCCTGCAAGCTTCACTGCACTGCCCTTGCCCAGCACCACCTCAGAGCTCGGGAAACACCTGCATTTTAGAGAATCTCCTAGCGAACAGAGCTAAGAGTGTCCCAGCTCCCACCAAAGGTCTTGACTGGACTGAGATCAAGGCCTGCTCGAAATTCCAACGACAAGCCCCTGCCCACACGAGGACCCCTTTCTTCTACACATCCAGCAAYTGCTTATGCCTGTCGGCCTCTCTGCAGCCGAAGCACCACCAAGGCTGGGGCCCGTTAGCTCACCCCAAGCCCCCGACACAGCAGGCCGTGTGTACTGCCCACTCACTCCCCTACACCTTCCCCGCGGCTCACCGAGAGGCCGGTCGCCCATAGAAAAAGCAAACGGCCACAACAAGGTCCTCTTTGCCCTGCTCTGGGGGCAGGATGGAGGCCCTCACCAACTGTGCCCTGCTTCCCCGCACGGGTGGGGCGCTGGGCGGAGGCCCGCCGACACCCGCCCTGGGGTCTGTCTGCCCTCCCGGACGCTGCCCGGGAGCACTCTCGCCTCGCCAGGGCTCGGCGCGCAGGAGCTCGCGCTCCGAGCTCGCAACCGCGGCTTCGGCCCGAGGCCCCGCATCTGCCCAAGGACACAGCCGCCCCGCCCGGCCCCGCCCGGCTCGTGATGACCTAGTGGACGCAGCACCGGGTCGGAGCGCCTCACCCGTCCAGGGGCTCCTGCCGCTCGGGGTCCTGGATCCCCAGGGCGCCCAGGATGGCGTCCACCAGCGGCTGGTACTCGAAGATGATCCTGCGGAAGCCGTGCAGGAATGGCATCGCGGCGGCGGGGCGCGCAGGCCGGCTCCTCTCCGCGAGGCCGAGACGCCAGCCGGGCGTGGTACAGCGGCCGCAGCTCCCGCGGGGCTGAAGTGGTCCTGACTCCGCGCCGGGCCGAGTCCACCGCCCAGGTCGCCGCTCCGTGCCGGAAGTGATCCGAGCTCTCTCACTTCCGGCCCGCGCCGCTCTGGGAAGCGCGCGAGGCCACAGCGCCCCCTGCGGACGCGGGGGACCGCTGCGCGTGGGGGGACGCGACCAGGCGCGGACCCACCGGGAGTGTGAGGGAGTGGGGGGCGCTCCGCCCAGGGCGGGCCGAGCCCGCCGGTCCCGCCCGCGCCGCCCCCTGCCTTCCCGCCCTTGGCCGCTGGGCGCCGTCCGAGCTCCGCCCGCCGCGCGCCAGCCCCGCCTCGGGTCGCGCCTCCCCCGGGCCAGCGGCGGCACCCCAAGCGGAGCGACGAGGACCGCCCTCCGCGCGCTCCGTCGCAGGGGACGGGACCTTCTGTCTGTGCGGCGGCTCCGGCTGCCTGCCTTTTCCGCCCTCCGCCTGGGTGGACTCTCGTCTCCTCGTCTGTAGTGGCCACTGCCCAAGGTCCCCGCAGGTGTCGGGTGGGTGGAGTCGGCATCTGATCTCCGGCGGGGTTTGCGCCTCTGCAGCCCCGAGCCCCCTGCTGAAGCCCACCGGGAAGGGTGCTGGCCTTAAAGGCCCATTTCAAAACAACCCGATTTACCTTTTTTTTTTTTTTTAGTTGTAGATGGACACAATACCTTTATTTTGTTTTATTTTATTTATTTCATGTGGAGCTGAGAGTCGACCCAGTGCCTCGTGCGTGCTAGGCAAGCGCTTTGCCACTGAGCTGCAGCCTCAGACCCACAACACCAAGGACAAAACAGACTTCGTCGCCAAAAAATCCGCAGCCAGTCGAGGACCAGCGTTGGGGATCTGATAGGAAAAAGGATGCAGCAGGAGCTGGGTAGTTGCTCGCAATTATTATTGTTAACCACGTAATGCAGACCATACAAGCTATGGAAACCACATCAGGCCGTCTAAAGGGGCAGGAAGGAGGGGTGTGGGCGGCAGCCCGGTCAAGCCCCTTTAAGACAATGCCCATTTGGGCTACTCAGAGGCAACTGTGGGTCACAGTGGCACCCAGGGCACCTCTGCCTTTGTTTCTTGCCCCAGGAAGGAATGGCTCCTCCCTGAGTGACACAGGAACATTTTGCTCACACAGAAATGGAAGTTTCCAGTTTGTCTTGAAAAATCAGAAGGGTCGAGTTCCCAGGTGGCCACAGTGAGCATCCGGTGGTGCATCTGCTCCAGTGGGCCCCCCTTTCCCATTGGGGGTTGAGATAAACACCCGCCATGCTCTAAGTGCTCCTGCCTCCCACCTCCCCTGAATGCCAAGTTCCAGAATGGCACGCCCCCCCACCAGGCCCTCTCACTGATCCAGGGTTGTGGCTCCACCACACAGAGGGGAGGACTGAGCCTGGCCTGGGCTGCCCAAGGACATAGGACAGGTAGCCGGAGAAGCCCCTCGGTGGATGGGGCAGAGCTGGGGGGACAACCTGGCACAGCCCTGCCTCACCCTAGTCTCCTGGGTTGCTGCAGTAAAGTATGGATCGCATCCCTCGGATTTCTCAGGGGATTGTTTCCAGGACCCTCAAGGACACCAAACCCAGCAGATGCTTAAGAGCCTTAAGTAGAAAGGCATAGTAGTGTTTGCACATGAGCTCTGGGTCCCCCCCCCCATTCTAACGTAGCTGGGTGGCGTGTGCAAAGCACTGTAAGCTTCATGCCAGGGTCCTAGTGTATTGTTTGGGGATAATATCAAGAAAAAAGTCTGTTTGTGTTTGGTACAGACACAATTGCTTGTTTGATTTTTCAGAGGATTTTTTGTTTGTTTTGTTTTGGTTTTGGGTACCAGGGATTGAACTCAGGGGCATTCAACCACTGAGTCACATCCCCAGCCCTATTTTTTTTTAATATTTATTTTTTAGTTTTTGGCGGACACAACATCTTTGTTGGTATGTGGTGCTGAGGATCGAACCCGGGTCGCACGCATGCCAGGCGAGCGCGCTACCGCTTGAGCCACATCCCCAGCCCCGCAGCCCTATTTTGTATTTCCTTTAGAACAGGGCCTCACTGAGTTGCTTAGCACCTTGCTTTTGCTGAGGCTGGCTTGGAACTTGAGATCCTCCTGTCTCAGCCTCTTGAGAACCGCTGGTATTACAGGTGTGCCTCACCACACCCAGCTCAATTTTCAGTTTTTGAGGTGCAACCTCACTATGCTGCCTGTACTGGCTTTGACTCTGGGGCTCAAGCATTCTTACTGCCTGGGCCTTCGGAGTAGCTGAGCCTGCAGGTGCACCCTGCTGCACCTGGCTCACGGATGCAGTTTTTCCCTGTAAACATTTTCTTTATATGTATGTATGTATATATATACACACATATGCAAGTATTGTGTCCATCTCCAACCACATATATATTGTTGTAGATGGTCACAATACTTTTATTTATTCATTTTTCCGTGGTGCTGAGGATCAGACCCAGTGCCTGATGCGTGCTAGGCGAGTGCTGCCCCCCTGAGCCCCAGCCCAGCCCCCTCTAAACATCTTCATTCTGCGCTTGGTCAAAACCATGGGCAGAGCCCACAGATCCAAAGGCAGAGCCATGACAAGCTCGCTGGCCTCGGACAACAGAAATGTGTCCTCTCACAGTTCTGGGCCCAGACATTCAACCTCAAGGTGTGGGCAGGGTCATGTTTCCTCCAGAGAAGGCCCCGTCTGCCAGCCTCTGGCCACCGGTATCTGGTGGCAGCAGTCCATGTGGCCTACGTCTCTGTGCCTCCATTCCAATTGCTTCTCCTTTCAAAATGACACCCATCACTGGTCTTGGAGCCCTCTCTAATCCTGCAGGACCTCACCTTAACTTGATTACATCTGAAAAAACCTCTTTTTCTAAATAAGGTCACTTTCCAGGTACACAGCTAGGGCTTGAACGTGAATTTTTAGAGGATAGCACTCAGCACAATTACACCCACTCCATGGTGATCCAGGCGTGGCCCTCTGGTCTCTGGGCCTCAGTTTCCTCCCTATAATTCAATGCCCTTCAAATCTTCATCCTGGAACCTATGAAGAGCTCCTTGATGTCCTGAGGGGCTCTGTCAACAGGGGTCACAGAAAAACTAAGAAGAAGGAACAGAGATTCCCCATGTACTCCCTGGGCCCACACAGCTTCCCCCACCATCGACGTTCCCACCAGGACAGCACATTTGTAGAGAGGGGCTGAGGGATGACAACCGGAGTAGCAATCACAGAGCTGGCTTCTACTTACGGGGCCCTTTCTACGTGCCAGGGACTGTGCTGTGCGCTTAACACACAGCTGTGCGCTAGGACTCCTGAAGTCCTAGGCCATGCTGCATCCATTTCACCAATGAGGAGACAGGCTCAGAGAAGTCAGGTGCTTGCCTGACATTGCACAGCTGGGCAGCAACTCCAGCCTAGTCTGCAACCCAGGCTGCAGTTGGACCTCTGGCTGCAGAAGATCTGGCCGTGCAGGAGGGAGGAGCTGACCTCTGTCCTCTCGCAGCCTTGGGTACCACACTGGAGCCAGGCCCCGCTGCCTGCCCGTCATCCAGGCTCCTATCCTTCGAAACTCTGTGCCCCTTGACCTCCCGCCTGTCAGCAAGGGCAACCTTGTTTCCTCCATCTGCCTCCCATTAAGGCTGTGTCGCTCAGGGCTGGATTCAGCTGCAGCCCTTCCCTCTCCTTTCCTCGCCAGAATCCCTCACTGCCTGGCCAAACCAGCCTCTTCCTGCCACCCAGCTCCAGGGTACCTCAGCTGGATGGGGGTCCTGAGCTCCCACCTGGTGGGAGGTGGGCCTGCCTCCTACTCCCCAGGAATCACTCTGATTATCCAACCAATAGGTGGAGTAACCTTAATATATAAAGAATTGTCAAAAATCAACAAGAAGGCAAAAAAAAAACACATTAGAAACATGGGCAAAAGACACACACAGGTGAGTCACAGGATGAAAAATTGTCAACAAACACGAGAGGCGGTGAGCCTCTCTGGCAGCCCAACAACAACCTTAATAGGCCATAGACGGGACTTCCTATCCCTGAGACCTGTCCCCAGGCACTCGACAAAGCAGGTGACCGAGTGGGAGATTCTATAAGATCCCATGGAGGAGGCGTGTGCTTGGACAGGGATCCTTCCTGAGGTTGAGCTCCAGCTTGGTATTTCTGGAACCCAGAGCTTTGCTCTCCCTTGGTCTTGTACATATTTTCTACCTTTTTTCAAACGAGTGTGTCTTACCTGGGACTCAAAACCCTACTTCACGGAGGCTGAGAATCGGCCCTGACCTCCTCCACTCGAGTTGATCGTGAACTCCTGGGGGGGCCCAGGTGTGTCCAGGTGTGGCTCCCTCTGTGGCCGCCCTGCCCTGGGCCCTCCCAGCCTGGCTTGGAGCAGCCCGCCTCTGCCCCCAGTGGTGGGGAGAGGAATGGTCACTGACAACAAGGGCAGCCTTAGCCTGGGGCGCCCATGTCCCCTAAGTTAGGTTAGAAGCTCAACACCCGTCAGGTCTTTGACTCTCAAGACACCCTGGACGTAAGGGGCCTGGTGTGCAGGCCCAGAAGGACCAAGGAGAGGGGTGGGCGGCCTCGCTTGGTGCCTGGCTCTTGGTTCTCATTTCCTCTCACACTTGCTCTCAAAAGTGTTTGCATGCGCRCACACACACACACACACACACACACACAGGCACACACAGGTTCACGCCGACACGCCCACAGGTTGCCGGTCTCTTACACACTCACAAGCACACCCGAAGCCCACTCACCATCCCAGACATGGCTGGACTGGTCACTCACACACACCCAGTCGGGACAGGTCGCTCTAGGCACCCAGTGTCCCTAGTCCCATCCATGCATCCCCGGGGCCACTCCCTCGAGGAGGGGTGGTCAGCAGCCAGGCCTGCCCTTTGGCAGACCCTGCAGGTGGCGGGAAGGGAGAAAAGGAAGAGGCCCCCTTTTCTTCCTGTTCCTTCTTTCTTTCGAGCCTGCCCACCGAGTGGGTACTGGGGAAACCCAGTCACCACCCCAGGTCTCTGTCTTGTGTGGTGGCCAGCCCCCAGCTCCAGCCCCCCGGAGGGCTGGGGACATGGAGGCGCAGAGTGGACGGGCTGGGCATCTATCTGAAGTGTGGTCTCAGCCACCGCCCTCCCTCTGCCCCCTTCTCTGGCCCCAGCCCCCCTTCCTTTCCCTTCCTCCTCCCCCACACCCTGACCCCATCCTGACCCCTGACCCTCATGACCCAGAG